TTGTTTTCTCCTCCAGATTGTTTATCCAGCCTATCTTATCTAGATAGACTCTAACACATGAACATTTTAATGATGCTGAAAAGGCATTTCGCAAAACCCATGACCTGTTCATGATAGTAACACTCAACAAATGAGTCATAGAAAGGAGGAGTCTCAACAGGATACAGGGTATTTAGGGGAAAACCTACAAATAACATCAAGCTCAATGATGAGAGGCTGAGAAGTTCCCTCTGAGATTGGGGATCAGGCAAGGAGGCTCACTTTCACCATTATACTGGAGATCTAGAAAAAGAAATAAAAATGTATCCAAATTGGAAAATAAGTGAAATTCTTCTTATTAATAGATGGCATGATCCTAACTATAGATAGATAGAAAACCCCAAAAATCCCCACAAGGAAGCTTTCAGAACTAATGAAAAAAATTCTACAGTTGCAGGAGGGAAGGTCAACACAAAAGAACTGTGAGTTTTGCATACATCAGGAATGAACTTCCTGAAAAGGAAATTAAAGAAACAATTCCATTTACAATAGCACCCGCAATAACAAAATATCTAGAAATAAATGTAGTCAGGGAGGTGAAAGTGTGGTACCCTGGAAATTATAAAACATGGCTGAAGGAAATAAAAGAAAATCTCAATAAATGGAAAGAAAACCCTATGATAACGGATTATAAAACATTACTGCTGCTACGGGTCACTAGAACCCAGTGAAATCTGGAGACTATGACTCCAGACCAAAATTCCAACAGCCTTCTTTGTTGGAATGGAAAAGCTGACCCTTACATTCATATGGAATTACAGGGGCCGCATGAAAGAGATCTAAAGAGGAGATCTAATATCTCCCAAGGTCAACACTTACTACAGAGCTACAGCAATCCAAACAGTGTGGGGCTGGTGTAAGGACAAATACATAGACAATGGAATACAACTGGAAGTCTAGAAATCAACTCATGTATCTGTGATAAATTCGTTTTCGAGGAGGGTGCCAAGCCCATTCCCGAGGGGGAAAGAACACACTCCGCGGAATGGTGCTCAGACAGCTGGAATTCCACGTGCAGGAGAGTGAAGCTGGAACCAGTTCACTCCCTACATTAGAACTAATTCCAATGGGCTACATGACCTAAATCTAAGAGCTGAAACATAAAAAGAAATCCCCAGGTTTTGTATTGGACAATAAATTTTTAGCTGTGACACCAAAGGCGTGAGGAATGAAAGAAAAAAAATTAAAGAACTTTATCAATACCGAAAACTGTGATGCATCAAAGAATCTCATCAACAAAGTGGAAAGACTACCTCTAGAATGGGAAAAAAATCGGCAACTATTCACGTGTTCAGGGTACATTATTCAGAGTATATGTACGAGTATCTATTCTAACAACTGAACAGCCAAGGGACAAACGACCCACTCCAAACAGTGGGCAAGAGCAAGCACATAGAGAGATACTCGTCCACAATGTTCACTGAAGCTTTCTGGTATATATATATATATATATATATATATATATATATATATACACACATATGCCATGGGATAGTTTTTACCCATAAAGGGAAATGAACTTCTGATATACACTGCTTCTTGGATGAACTTTAAAAACATTTTTCTGGGTTATGGAAATCAGACTCAAAAGCACAAATATATGATCTCATATATATGAAACACTTACATAAGCGAATATATGGAAACAACGAAATAAACTATGAGAAAATGAACAAATAATGAGATTGCTTATCAATCCATGAATTAAACTGTCTGAGATCTTATTATTGCAAAACCCTGTCCTCAGCAAAGGCTAAAGTCTTACTAGTTGCAATTAGTAAACTTCTAATTCAATCTACCACAAACACATCAAACACCTCTCATGAGACTCCTGGAAAATACTGCCATCCCCTGAGGGCTGAATTCACTAGGCTGATGTAGATTTGAATCAGTGATCCTGGATGGATTCTGGACTGCATACACAATCAACATCACAAACATCCATTTGGAGGTCTGAAAGTCTCTTAATATTTTCAAGTGGAAAATTATAAGAACTCTAGCAATTCTTTAAAAGAATAAAAAACCTACCTCCTCAATAAAAACCCATTTTTAGAACTGATATATTAGACGCAGCCTGCAGGAAGGATCTGTATGGAAATCTACTCCCTGGACATGTTGGTTCTGGGCGATGTTGGTTTGGAAGCAATCAGGCCAAGGAAGCTGGCAGCAAGAGCTCAAGGCCCGTTCCGCACACGCCCCTTCCACACCGAGCATGCGCAGTAAGGCGATGCACATGCGGGCACGAGCCAAGAGGTGCCCACACTCCTTGGAAGAGGGAGACGAGACCATGATGCCTTTGGTTTTCTGTTCAGTGTTTTTAAAAGGAAGAGGCACTTTCAGGAAGTAGGTTCTATTATCCATCAATGAAGATGTTTGGTACAGCCAAAGAAAGCCATGGCTGTGGACGGAATGAAGAGAAAACCAGCTAAAATCTTTGTAAGCTGCTGTTCCTAAGGAAGATCTTATGGCGATACAATCTGAATAAAACAGAGCTTAAGGTGAAATGGGTAATCTATTCTGCATTCATCAAACGAGAATGATTATGTAAAGGCCAAACCTAAGTGTAAATGTGAACTGAAATCACTTCAGGTCAGAGTCAGAGCAGTAGACAGCAGCACAGGAATCCCCATACAATACTCTAGCTGTATTAGCACAGTGAGAGGCAGTTTTATGTTTTATTGGAAGAATGATATTGGATTAAAACTAAAAGAGCCAGAGAAATCCAGTTGTTTTTTATTTATCAGAGTTACAAACCCATTTGATTTAAAAACTCACAAACTGCGCTCCCACCCCCCCACCTCCAGCACTATTTGTCTCAAGTTCCCAGAAACAGACACACACTATCTATCTGGATTCCATGTTTATTTTACTTATTTTATTTGTTTTTGTTTTTCTATTGCATAACAAGAGACAGGAGGAGATACATCACTTCTGAAAGGCAGACAGCTCCCCCCGCCCCCCTCTCCCCCCACTTGGGCTGATGAGCATTAAAAATAATGCCATGCTTATGAGATGTGGCTTTCTGATTTTTGATAGCAGAAGTAAAGAATGAGACCACAGCTCCTCAGATAACCTGACTTTTCTTAAAAACATAACAGGGAAATCGGATTTATGACCCTCCTTTGCAGCAATCTCAATCAGTTCTAAGAAGTGGAGGGAAATGTGTGTCTTTCATACCTCAGACACACATGCAATTACATGATTAGCTTGGCTGTAGCCATGTACGGAGGCTGGCTAATGCTGAAGAGAAAATGCTTCCTCGCAGACTTTTACAGCAGTGTCCCACCGCGGTGGGGCTGCCTCCTAAGGACAGAGTCCAACTGCCCCACGGGACTTTGGAGGCTGTGAGTCTTTACAAGCGCCACTGTCAGTCTTTCTCCTGTGGAGCTGCTGATGGTTCTGAAGTGCTGACCTACTGGGTCCAGTTCTGTCACCATGGAGCCACCTGGGCTCTTTAAGATAGAGGGCTCCAAACGCCTTTTTATTATTGCAAATACTGCTGCCAGAACCTTAAGTCAGATCTTAGAGCTAAAGCTCGGTATTTAAAAACAAAAAAAGAGAACAAAACACCATATCTTATATTCTAGTGTTTCTGTATGCCACGAGGATTGAGAACTGCTTAAGGGTTATGCTAGGATGTCTTGTGCTGCAAATCATAAATATTCCCAACACCCATTACTCACGTGTACACCTTAAGCACAAAATCCTTTTCTTCCTTTACTTCTGCGAGGGGCTGCAGGGCGTCCAGGATGCTCAGTACCGCACAGCCATAGGGTCGCCGGTAATGCAGGTGCGCGGGGCCCTTCTTTGAGTCATTCAGGAGCATCCGGCCTGGGACACAACAGAAGGCACCAGTCAGGTTCCTCTACAGCTTCACTTGGACTGCCACCTGAGAATGCTGCAGCAACAGGCAGCTGAGTCAGCCCTGCACTGGAAGACCAAGGCAAGGAGGCTGACCTCCAAGGACGCAAAGATATTTATGTGGAGGAACTCAAACACTCAATCACTCTTATCACAGCCTCCTGAAGCAATTATCAACAGTCTGTTTATTAATCAGGAGAGAATAAATCATTGTGCTTCATGAATTTCTCAGAAAAGCTAGTGTGCTAATGATTTCCCAGGCATAATAAGGATCCACAGTTCAGTACTCTGGTTGCCAGGTATAAACTGTGTATGCACAGAAAAGGAAGACCATGAGCTGTTCTTCCCATACAGCTCTGCTGCCAAGCCGCTGCTGGACCACTGGCAGTCAGAGCACCTCAGGAAGCAGATGGAATTTGAGTTTCCTGCCCACCAAGGTTGTGCAAACAAAACAGCAACCTTAAACAAATACTTTCTTAGGTAGAGCAAAACCGTTTGTCCTGTTGGCCAGGGATTAAAAAATGTTCTTTGACAAAAATGTATAAAATATGCAAGAATCCAAGTCTATGAAGGAAGACTTGGCTGTTCCTAGCCCTCAAAAATAGGTCCTAAACCAACCACAGAACAATTGCCTAAATCACTTTCTTCATCGTGGGTTGGGCAGAGGCAAAATGCCAGCATGCACTGGAGTGATGGGAGTGATGGAGTAACTCTCATTTTGTAGAAAACGATGGATGCGTATCAAGAGCAAGGGCTATTCATAGCCCCCACCACGGCCCCGCCCCCCCGCCCCCCAGTCCTGGCAAGCTGCTAGACCAGTGGTTCTCCACCTTCCCAAAGCTGCCTCCCTTTCATACAGTACCTCATGCTGTGGTGACCCCCCAACCATAAAATTTTTTTCGTTGCTACTTCATCACTGTCGTTTTGCTACTGTGATGAATCGGGCGACACCTGTGAAAGGGTCGTTCAGCCCCCAAAGGGGTTGCAACCCACAGGTTGAGAACCGCTGTGCTATACGATCTCTGAGGGACAGGGTTGGTACAGGTGAAGACCAATGTGATGTGTTGGAGAGAATGTCAAAGCACTTCATTTAAATGAAAACTTTGGGTGCAAAACCAAGAAGGAGCCCAAGGTCTCAAGTGAAGGAAAATAGATCTATTTATATCAAAGTCAGCTACCACACAATTCAATCTGGACTCTAAGCCTCCAACCTGAAACAACACTTAAGGATGGGGGAGAGACACCGTTCATGAATAAGAGATACTTATTCCAAGTTGGGTTGGTCTTAATCATGTGAGTGGATAAGATGGGCAGTACCTATTCGGATCACATGGGCAACTATATATAAATCCCTCTTCATATCTTTGCTGCTCAGATCCTAAAAGAAGAGAAAATACAAGTAAATGAAGGCCATGGATGTACAGAAATCTGTTAACACTCATTTTGAACATCTTTAAGAATTTGCCTTTGCTGCTTTTAGCCCAGTATAAGGGGGCAGAACTAACAGTGGAACAATCAAGTATTTATGAGGCTCCTGTACTTAAAAGTCAGACATCATAAATGTTTTGGGAAGTTTTTTCTTAATAATATTTTTCTACTTCTTATTTAGGCCACCTGGGAAATCAAGTATCTATAAGAGTGCTCACATTAGAAATCTTCATGATATTATCTCATCTCATGCTTATTCATTAGCACATAAAACATTCTAATACAAAAGGATAAATATTCAATACAGAAAACATAGAAAATCACCAAAAATCTCATTAGTGATTAAAATTCTAAAAATTTATTTTCTATTAATTTCACGTTTGTTTTTTAATTTTCACAAACCATTATTACACAGCAGGATGATTCTCTTGAAGAGAAATTAATCTGATATCAGTGAAATCTCAGCAATTTGATTTCCATTTCTAAATTTAGATATGTATAATTTATACTAAAATTAAAGTTGAAAATAATTTCATCTGGGGAATTTTAAGAGCTTGCTTTTAACCCAATATCACTGAGTTGATGCCGATTCATAGTCAAAAACTTTCAAAAACCATACATTAAATTCTTATACACTAAACATTTCTGTATAGAACACATTTTGGGAAATTGTTCATGCGTATGCATTTAAATATACTTAATGAATTATACTTGAAATGAAACCCTTCGCTACATATGCATTGTTTCAGACTTTTCACCACATCATTAGTAAGTCCCCACTCGAAGCCATTGTTGTGAATTAGTGATAGTTGTATTAGTGATAGTTGATGGAGTAGCCTTTGTCTTAAATGGAAAATATTCCCATGATTTCCCTTTTGTTTCTACTTGACAAGGCTGCTCAGTGCCATTCCTTCGATCTTTCATCTTCTGATTGGCCCCGAGTGCTTGTCTCTTCTCAGTAACAGGAGAAAAAGGGCAATCAAGGAAAAGAATGGGGTTAGGACTAGAGCAGGGTGGGCCCTGTGCTGCGGTGCTAAGTGTAAGGAGGCCCTCCCCCTCAGCGCCCCCCGTCCTGCTTACCTCACCTGGTCCCCGCCTGCCCTGCTAACCCTTTTTGAACACGTGGCAGGGAAGGGGGCATTAAAAAGTATTATGTGAACAATTCTGCCGTGAACACTGGTGTACAATACTGTCTGGGTATTTACTTTCAAGTCCTCTGGACACATACCTAGGTGTGAAGGTTCTAGGTCATACGATAGTCCTCTTTTCAGTTTCTGAGGAACTGCCACTCTGTTTTCCACCAAGGCTGTACCATTTTGCATTTCCACCAGTAAGAAAGAGATAAAGGGTCTCAAGAGTGCTTACGGAAGCACTATTCACCACAGTCAGAAGATGCTAACAACCTAACTGGCTACCAGTAGAGGATCAGATAAGCGGAACGTGGAATATTGTGCAGCCAGTAAAAGAAAAAAAAGTCTTAATACATGCTACAATTTAGATGGAGCTTCAAAACATTATGCTGAGTAAAATCAATCATAAAAGGACAAGTATCTTATGACACTACTTGCATAAAAAGACAAGAAAAGACAAACGTATAGAGAACCGTTTATTGGTGGTAGGAAGGAAGGAAGGGAGTTAATGGTAATAGAAAAATCACACTGATTACAGGTAGGACCACACTGCCAATAATAATTGTAAAGTGTGGTCAGTACGTTGTACAATTATAAAAAGTTAACTGACAACAGTTGTGTAACTGGTGTATTTGCAACAAGGACAATAAAATAGAGTAGTTTCTGGGACAGCTTATGACAATCAAGTGGACTGCCACCTGAGAATGCTGCAGCAACAGGCAGCTGAGTCAGCCCTGCACTGGAAGACCAAGGCAAGGAGGCTGACCTCCAAGGACGCAAAG